GATGTGTGAGTTATAAGTACACTGTCATAGAAAAAGTGGGGTAAAAACTTTGAGCCTGGACAGTGCTGCATACTAAGGGTACCAGAGAAGGTACCAGAATGAATGGCTTCTGAGCATGTCACTTTTCAGGAATGTGAAGGACTGAGAAAGTGAGCAGAAACTCAAGAGACTAAAACAAACCCTGATGGAATGGAATAAGCCCTGTATATATATTTGTACACACATACACATACAGATATATAGAGAGATATATAGATATCTATGTGTATATATATATATATATATATATGTGTGTGTGTGTGTGTGTGTGTGTGTATATATATATATATACATATATATATATTTGTATATGTATACATGCATATATATGATAGCTTCTAAACCAGTACAGAAAGGCTGGCAGGGTTATAGCATTGCCTAACTTCAGGAATTAGGCAGTTCTCTATAATATAATCTGTATGTCCCCACCCTGGAATTTTTGAAAGCTATACTCAACCCAAAATAGGTTTTTCCTTCCTGCAATGGAAGAAAATATTCTACAGCTCAGATTGAAGAAAATCGACTAGAAAATAACACTCAGCCCTAATACTTTCATTCTAGGAAAGATGAATTACTTTCATTTAATGATTCTTAAATACCTTTTAAAGTATGCTCTTACCTTAAAATGTATCTGTCTATTTATTCTCCATCCATATATTCATGCATGCATGTATATATAGCCAGCCTCCTCTATGTATAGAGAACTGTCTTAATGATGTTCACCAAATGGTGACAATAGATTTAACCCAGAGGTATATTTGAGTTATCTATTGCTTTTTTCTGTGGCTTTTTGAAATTCTATAATTCAATCATTACTATAAGAAATAGAACGAGAGAGAGAGAGAGAGAGAGAGAGAGAGAGCTGCATCTCCTAAGTGCTATTGAGAAAAAATTCTTAAAAATAATTTTTAAAAGTTTGCATTTCCAAACTTTAAAATTTTTTAATGTTTATTTATTTATTTATTTATTTATTTATTTATTTATTTATTGAGAGAGAGCATTCGCACAAGTGGGGGAGCAGAAGAGAGACAGGGAGAGGAAGAGAATCCCAAGCAGATTCCATACTCTCAGTGCATTGCCTGATGCGCCGTCCAAACCCACGAATCCTGAGATCATGACCTGAGTCGAAACTAAGAGTCAGACGCTTAACTGACTGAGCCACCCAGGCACCCCTAGAAAGTATATTCTTAATTATGAGAAACTAATATTCATTATATATCCATAAGTCCTACCTCATTCTACTGTTTAGTGGTTTTTTTTTTACCTTTACTTATTTTTCGTTCTCTTGATTTATTTTGTCCTAATATTGGTTTGTTAAAGTTTCTCATATGTATGTATTTATATCTCTGTCTTCCTTCATCTGCAGTTTCTGCTTTGTGTAGCTGATGGCTGTACTCTTTAGAGTATTTCTAGATATTCTATTATATCTTTGTTTGTGGTTGTGGCTTGTCATGTTAGTTTACTTGATGCCTGATTGCTACCTTGTCCAATGCCAGAATTTCAAACCCTGCTTTCTTCCAATTTTCATTTACCTTCTATATCTTTGTTGTTACTTTTATATTTGGCCTTTTTGGATCACTGGGTTTTATGGGAGTTTCTTCAATAGAACATAAAGTTGGGTTTGCTTTATGAACCTATTTAAAAATATTTTCCTTTACCTTTATGATAAGACTCATTTTGGTACCAGGTCCCAACTTTCTCTGTCTGGTATGTCTTCTTTGTTATTTTTGGATTTGATTTTAGAAAACATTTTTCTGTCTGGTTTGGATGTTTTGAATTCCCTTCTCTTTTGCCTATTACCTCTATAACAGTCAGTGAAGTAGTTCTATTTTTCCCTTTCTCTCTCCTTCCTCTTCTCATTTTCTCATTTTATTCTTTCTCCTTTGTCACAGTATTTATGATTTGTACACTATTCTCCTACCTTCATTCCCACCCTTTTCATTTTAGATCCAAAATTAAATGTATTGAATACTCACCATCAGTTATTTTAATGAAGTTTCCTGAGGCTTGTCAGGTTTAAAAGTAATAAAATCTTTACTCTATCAAAGATAATATGAGTACATAGGATATTCTAACTCAGATTAGGCACACTCTTCCTGCTACATCGTATGCTATAGTTGTCCAGGACTTTATTTTTATCTTTATGTTCTTCCCACACATAAGCAATGTTTAAATTGTTTTCTATATGCCTTTTTGCTCACATTTCTTTCTTCATATCAGAACTTCCTTCTAGGATATTTTTCCATGTCCTAGAATTTCCTTTAGTGAGGAGCATTTGACATTAGATCTCAGATTTTATTAACATAAATATATCTTCACTATATTTTCTTCTTTAAATATATAGTTGTCCTGGGTATGGAATTTAATTTGAAATCAATTTAACATTCATTCAGGCTTTTTTTTCTTTGTATTTTTTTAATTGGAAAAGTATGGTATTTTAATTAAGCATTTTTATTTTTATATAATTGTAGATTCATATGAACTTGTAAAAAATAATACAGAGAAATAAATTTCATGGATCATTTAAAAAATTTCTTTCACAGGTAATAATTTACAAAACAATGGAAAAATATATAGCTAAGGTATTGATAGTAATACAATCAAGATATAGAATAGCTTCCTTACCACTAGGATATCTCATGTTGTCTTTTTATAGCTACACCCACTCACTCCCACTTCCAGCTCTGTATAACAAGTCGTTAGCCTTATGTCATATTTATTCCCACAGAAGTATAGATCACCTTTTCCATACAAAACAGGGAAGATACTTGAATGCCCATGGCCATTTTACATGGAAAGAAAGATATCCAGACATTTTAGTCTGTTCTACTTCATGGACTGTGGCTAGTGGTATGGCTGGATGATCTGAGACTTGGAGGAGAAATACAGTTGGAATATTGGCAACAAGGTGATCTAAAGAAGGTGTATGTGGAAATAATTTTCCATATGTGTACATAAGGAAGACATATATGTCCCGTGTGAATGCTCACCAGCAAATGACCTCAGCACAGATGAATTTTAGTAAGTAGATAATAAGACCCATGCTTGGGATACTAGACAGCCTCTTTCTTCACGCACTTATTGCCATTGACCAATAGGCCACG